TAAAATAAGAACATCTGTTCTAAAACACTGATAGAGTAAACCTCAAGGTTTTTAAAGAAGTATAATGTTGGGACGGTGCCTGTGGCTCAAAGAGTAGGGTGCCAGCCCCAAATACTGGAGGTGGTGGGTTCAAACCCAGCCCCGGCCAAAAACTGAAAAAAAAAAAAAAAGAAATATTAACGTTGGTATATACAAATGAAAGGCACTGAAGTAATAAATAATTATAATTATGATTACACATACACATTTGAGAGAGGTAATCACTACAAAGGTTTTCCTTTTTAAAGGAACTCTATAGGAGTGTCTTTACTTTTTCAAAGAACATAGTCATGAATGTAAATTCAGACACATATCTGCATAAGATCATTGTTCATGCAGGCTATACATAATGAAGCCACTATCCTCATTTGATATCAGCAATGTCTCTGGTATAATAGGTCCCTTGGTTCCGACCTTGACTTTGTCATTAGCTTGCCATTTGGCCTGGATTTAAAGGCCTGATTCTCTCAAGTCTATGCTATCTTTATCTGTAAAATGAATATACTAATAGCTGCCCTTGCTAGATCATAGGGTTGAGTGAAGATCAAACAAGATAATCATAGTGAAAGGCCTTTGAAAAATACAAAGCCCTGTAGAAAGGCAAGGCCTTATTAAAGACTGTGGAGAGATTGCTAACCCAACTTGATTCAAGGCCAAAGTTTTGTACTTTCAAATATTAAAAAGATATTTAGTATTTATAAATTATCTGAAAAAATCAAATTCTTGCTTTGGTGACCTAGTACCATGAGTAAATTGTGTTCTAAATGCTGTATATTTGATATCTACTGCTATAAGTCATCTACCCACATTACCACAGATGTAATTATACAGCATTTTAGTAATATCTACCAATTCTTGGTGGGTAAGAATCCACATAGCTTAAAGATAAAGTCATGTTTTTAAAAGGGGGCACTTTCCCACTGTGGCAAAAGTGCTGCCTTTGTAACATGTCTACTATGACGGACCTGCCTGCCAATGCAATTTAACAAACATTTATTGAGTGGAATGGTGTACAAATCATTTGGATTAGAGAAGGTGGGGGAGAAGGATGAAGGTGGTAAGAATCAAGAGAAGGAAGGGGTCTCTGAAGTGGGTGAACTTCAGAACTAGCGGGGAGTGGCAGATACTGTGACAAGACAGAATGAAATCAATGCCAAGAAAACACCTGAGGAATACACAATGGGAGTTGGAGAGGTTGTAAGGATTAATTTATTCAATCTAGGAGGGCAGAATTGGGTGATATTTGTCCCCGACCTTGATGCATAAGGAGGATTCCTTGGGTTAGAAGTAGAGGGGAGGCTTTTTCAAGCCTGAAGGAACCACACAGAGCTCTATCCCACCAATGAATATTTACCTACTAATGGGTAAAACTGAAGAACTCTGCAGTGGGCCTGTGACTCTACAAAAATCGCAGCTGGCTGGTGTCAGCAGTAAAATTCCAGATTCTCATTTAAAAGCACCAGTCTTTGGCAATGATGGCTGCAACCAAAAAATAGCTGGGCACTGTGGCAGGCCCAGTGCCAGCTACTTGGGAGGTGGAGAATGCTTGAGCCCAGGAGTTGCTCGAGCATGAGGCAGGAGAATGCTTGAGCCCAGGGGTTGGAGGTTCTGTGAGCTGTGCTTTCATAGCACTCTACCCAGGGCAACAGCTTGAGGCTCTGTCTCAAAAAAAAAAAGCACCAGTCTTATGGCGTTCCACGATTCCAAGAGAGCAGCTCAGAGAGCAGTGGTACATGGTCCTGCAAACAATACTCTATTTTATTTCAGTTCCACAGAGCTTCAAGAATTTCATCCTTGCTCAGACATGAGTTCTGACTTTAAATAACACGTGCCCAACTAAAAAACTCCACCTCTTGCAGGTTTCTAAGCTCATTTCTACTCCTGTGCCAGTTAATTTTCACAGATCCAACACCAAGCTTTAGGTTTAGTTTTTTTAAAGGATTTATTACACTTTCTCTTCCAATACATTACTGTTAGATTACTTTTCCCTTTCCAAAACTGTAATATGCTCCTATATATGGTTTTGATTTAAACAAAATAAAAAATATAAAAAATAACACCACAAGCTATAATAACTCTCCTCTAGTCATCACACTATTAGCTAACATTGATTGAGCTCTTACCTTGGACCAGGCAATGTGCTACATTATTGCCTTTGCACAGGGCAGGTAATATTACTATTTCTATTTTACAGAAGAAGAATAGCCATTAACAGAGGCTAAGTGACTTGTCCAAAGTCACTGGCTAGTTCAGAGGTGGGGCCTGGACATGCACCAAAGTCTGTATATTTAACCCTACACTGTAGTACCCCTACTCCCTTGCCTTTCTCTTTAATAACAAAATAGAATTCTGTGACGGTTAAGTGTAGCTTACATGCAAACCATTTTGAAGGGTGGCAGTCTCCTATGTTAAGTGGGACAGGCCACTGCTGACTTGATATGATCATGTCAACCAAGGCTTATTCAGTTCTCTCAGTGTGTAAGGCACTGTCATTTTAACCTTCACAGTAGGCCTGAGAGAAAAGTGTAATTATTCTCTTCAACCCATGAGCAAACTGAGCCACAGAGAGGTTGATTATTTGGCCTAACGTCCTGTTAGAAACTGATAAAGCCAATATTTGGACCTTGGTCATTAGACACAAGAGCTCTAGTTTTTAATTTCTGACCCATGCAAGATTTGGATTTGTTATAAAAAAACAAATAAACAAGCAAACAAAAAGATTTGGATTTGTTGAGGGCCCCAAAGACACTGCCTCAAAATTTCTCCCCCATCTGCCTGTCCCAGAGCCTGATGTGAGGATCCTGAGCAGTTAGATGATGTTACCAGGGGAGCAGCAATGCTGAGAATAGCAAGTATTTAATTCTTTTAATTCTTTCAAAGGTCTGTGCCAGGTGATGCCAGGCACCCAGTTGTGAGCAAGACTCTGCCTGCCCTCCTGGCTAGAGAGGGCCAGGAAGAGGGTAACCAAGTCAGGTACAATCAACATTGAAAGTGAGCTACCAAAAGCATCTGAGGTCATGCCACCCCTGTGCTTCCAATCATTCTGTAACAGCTATCACCAAAAGGATAAAGCAAGGCTGTCTCCCTACCCCCTAGCTTCATCTCTGCCTCACTGCCACACACCATATACCATAGCCCTGAGAAATAGCAGGCTTCTCCATGTCTCTACCCAAGGTTCTCTCACCCCTTCTATCTGACCTGACTTCAACACTTACCTTGGTCACATTCGTAATTCAACTTTCATTGTCCATCTCCTCTGGTGTGTGTGACTTGATGCACTTTGAATACCTATTATAGCACTTACCCTAAACTGAAATTACTTACACATTTGTCTCTTCAAAAGCAAGGTGAGCAGTTTGTTCCTCTTTTGCATTCTGAGTGCTTACCCTGCACAGGCACGAACTAGGCCAGTGATTTTCAACCAGTGTGCTGTGGCACCCTGGTGCGCCCTGAGAAGACCATCAGTTAAATTATTCTCTGAAGAAGTTCAAAGCACAGTAAGTATATTCTTTTTCATACTCTTTTTTTGATCAACATAATTTAAGTGTGCAGCAAAGTTTAACTATTGGTTCAAGTGGGCCGTGAGATATAAAAGGTTAAAAGTAATCCACTAGAGACTCTCAAAGCATGAAAACGAGAATACACAGCTTAACAGAGTACAAAGACTAGGTTAGGAGCTCTCAGAGATAAGCCCTTGTAAATTTGGGGGAAAGAAGACCTTTGGAAGAACCAAAGGCAGATCTGGACCAGCCTCAGTTGGATAATAAGGAAGAAGAAGGACTTAAGGTTCACTCTCTCAGAAGTTTGCCTGGGCTCCCTCTATCATCAGGAACGTTTAAAATTGGCTATGACACAATTTTGTAGGTATAGGAGTTCCTGCTTCCCCACTAGCCGGCCTTCCACTAGCTTACCAGTCCCCTCTGCACACCCACTGGGCGGCTCGGGCAGTACGCCCCGCGCTCACCGTTTACCCAGGTACTGTTAAATACCTTTGAAGCATCACTTCATTTAATCCTCTCAACAACCTGTGAGGCACTGCATTTATTTTTTCCTCTTTCACACATGAGGAAACTGATGTTCTGAGGACTAAAGCAACTTGCCCCCATCGCTGGGCTCCGTGCCACCCGCTCCCTTCCCGCGTGGCAGCGGCGCCCGCTCTGGGGGTGGGCGTTTCTCCTACCGTTGGCTCTGGAGCTCTGAGCCCGGTAACGCGCAGTGAGCAACAAGTAACAGTGCCGCTTTCTTCATCTGCACAGAAAACAAGTTGTTTCAGAGCAGGTACACTTGAGAAAGAGCCCAGGAAGGGGAGAGAAGCAGCAGGAGGGGGCGGAAGGCGAAAGAAGGGAGGCGAGAGGGCAGAAGCCGGCGAGCGGCGGGTGCGGTGCGGGGCGGGGAGCGGGGAGCGGGCGGGCGCGGAGCGGAGCGGGGCGGGCGCGGAGGGCGGGCGCCCGGGAACGGCCCCGCCGCCGCCGCAGGGGGAGCCCGCACACGCCGCGCCGCGCCGCGCTGACAGCCGCGGGCGACACCTGGGCCGCCCCGGGAGCGCGAGCCGGGCAGAGTCGCCAGCGCCGGTGGAGAGAGGGAAGGCTCGCCGCGGGCAGCCCGGAGGAAGGTAACGCGCCGCGCCCGGGAACGCAGGGCTGGGGGCGACGGGAGCAGGGAGCCCGCAGCGACTCCAAGGAGCTCACCCGGATTCTGGTCTCGACTTCTTTGGCCACTAGCTGTGTTACCTCGGGCAACTTTATTTCACTCTCTGGGCCTTTCTTTCTTTCTCTGTTAAATGAGGGAGTTGGTGTGATGTTATTTGAATGTCTCCAGAGTTCTAAACCGAGAACCGCGTTTTGGCGCTGGACAAACAACCTTCCTCGGTCTCCCACCTACTCAAGAGCTGCCCAGGCGGCTGGGCTGCCCAGGTGGGCAGGGGCTCTGCTGGGCAGTCAGGCTTTCTGGGGCTTCCGAGGACCGACCTGCGTGGGGTTGGGGCTGGCTGTTGGCAGGACCTGGCTGCAGGATTACTCAGGCGCAGAAAGGTAGGGCGTTAGGACCTGCTTCCAGGTGGGGCATTGGGAAGGGCGCTGAGGGTTGGTGATTTCTCTGTTTTGGAATTCTCTTCCCACACCTCGTCCCGGGGCCAGCTATATAAATCACACTAGAGAGATTTATCTCTCGAAGTGGAAAACCGACTGTCTGAGCGCCTCTAAGACCCAGGGCTCCGCCAGCATGTAGGAAGTGGGTTTCTCTCTCTGCGCCCTTCCTGCCGCCTCCTCTTCCCTTTCCTTTCTCCTTTTATAAATCCTCTTTGACTTTGAGGGGCTCTACTTCCTGCCTTAATGCCAAGTCCTTACTTTCGTTTAGTGATGGTTTGTGACCAGCAGCCTCTGGGGCTTTGGTTCTGGGTTGAGATGGAAGCCTGACGAGAACACGGTGTGAATCACACTGTCAAGTCTCCTGACCCGGCCAGAGCCTGGCAGGGATGGGCAGAAAAAGTTCCTTGGGGCAGGAGGGAGGGCGCTCAGACAGACACCTTTAAACGGTTACCTAGGTTTCTACATTTCCAGGCAGCCATTCCCAGGGAATTGTGACCCCTGCTGTCAGCTGGATGGAGCAGCCAAAGTAGGGTGGTTGAAAGGAGCTGAGGACTTTGATGTGTTTCTGTGGAAGATCCCCAGCTGTTTCCTCTCACCTCTCTGCTGCACTTCTCTGTAGTTCTTCTTTCCCACCTCCCCTCTAGTGCGGTATCCAGGTGAAGTCACCTTCTGGGCCCTTGATGAACAGCCAGGAAGGAGAAGGTGTGGGGAAGGTGGCAGGGCAATGTTCACTGTCTTTTATTGGACATTTCCTAGGGGCCAGGCCGTCCTCTTTGCCTGTAATATGTCTGTAATTCTCACAAGTCACTCGAGGGATGGTATACTATATATTTCTTCATTTCACAGATGGCAGACTAAAGCTCAGAAAGATTATTTTATCTGGATTTAGTTGAGTTCTAAAACCTGTGTTCTTTTCACTTTCTTTGTAAGAATAAGCCAGAATAAGAAGAGCAAAAACTCTAACATTATTGACCTCTCACTTGGTGTCAGACACTATGCAAAGTGTCTTAGAACTATTATGTCCCTTATGGTGTAGGAGTTTTGGTTATTCTGGAGGGAATCTGCCTGATCCTGCCCAGCTGCTAATGCGTGGGTGGGGCAGGAGCCCTGTTTGCTTTATCCTAGAGGTGATTTGGGGTCTAATGAAAGATTGATTATCCACATCTGATCCGTTCGATGTGACCGTTGGTTTGTGAATGATCCCACTGTTTCCTAAGAGAGTTTTTTTCGGACTTCACTCAATAAACATTTGTAGAATGAATGAATTAACACCTTGTGCAGAGTGGTCTGCTGCCCTGTGGAAATGTGAGACTGCCCAGGGGCAGCGCAGGCCTCACTGTCTTCAAAACCCAGGATGCCATCCCAGGAGGTTCTCCCCCTTAGGCAAGGGAGGTGGGGTAAACTGTGCCCCTGTGGGCTTCCAGAGCTTCCTGCTAATATGCTTGCTACTACCTGTTTGAAAAAGAAAATTTAAAAATATAGTAGATTAAGAAAAATTTAGCTCTTTTTTTCAACAGGAAAACTGATTTGGTTTAATGAGGTTAAAAAGGGGACATGGAAATCAATTGATGCAATTTGCTATATAGGGCTTCCCAGATTTCTCTGTCGAAGACCTTCCAATGGGAAAGAAGACCAGTAAGTTTGCCTGGGCTTCAGGGTGTAGTTCAAGTTGGCCCCAGCAAACTTGAAAATTGTTTTAAGGACTTACACAGTTTTTTTGTCTGAATTCATTATATGTGGACTTTGGTTTAAATATATAAAAAAGTTTTGTTCTCAAAATAATAGAGCAAAATTGGTATCCTAGTAGATTATTATATATTTGGGGGGCTTCAAGTACCCAGAGGGAGAAGCAGGGCCACAGTTCTGGGGGAGCTTAGCATACTGACTGTTTACATTTTCTAGTCTCTGATTCATAGTAACAGAGCTTTTCAATTGTTTAGGGAGACAACCGTTTTCCCAATTTTCAGAATGAACAATATGCTTTAGAAATAAAAATATCCTTTATTTTCTTATTACCAAAACTATGCTTATTCATTGCAGAAAAAAGATAAAGTACAAATTAGCATTTAATAATAAATAAAATCAATACATCTGGGATATAGCCTTCCAAATTTTTTTTAAGGTTTTTTTTTTTTTTTTATTAAATCCTAGCTGTGTACATTAATGCAATCATGGGGTATAATGTCCTGGTTTTACGTACAATTTGAAATGCTTTCATCAAACTGGTCAACATAGCCTTCATGTCTTTTTCTTAGTTATTGTGTTAAGACATTTATATTCTATATCTAGTAAATTTCACATGTACCCTTGTAAGATGCACGGTAGGTGTGGTCCCACCAATTACTCTCCCTCTACCCATCCTCTCCTCTCCCCTCCCTCTCCCCTCCCTTTCCCCTTTCCCCATATTCTTGGGCTATAATTGGGTTGTAGCTTTCATAAGAAAGCTATAAATTGGTTTCATAGTAAGACTGAGTACATTGGATACTTTTTCTTCCATTCTTGAGATACTTTGCTAAGAATAATATGTTCCAGCTCCATCCATGTAAACATGTAAGAGGTAAAGTCTCCATCTTTCTTTAAGGCTGCATAATATTCTATGGTGTACATATACCACAATTTATTGATCCATTCATGGGTCGATGGGGACTTGGGCTTCTTCCATGACTTAGCAATTATGAATTGGGCGGCAATAAACATTCTGATACAAATATCTTTGTAAAAATGTGATTTTTGGTCTTCTGGATACATACCTAGTAGAGGAATTGTAGGATTGAATGGCAGGTCTATTTTTAGATCTCTAAGTGTTCTCCAAACATCTTTCCAAAAGGAACGTATTTGCACTCCCACCAGCAGTGTAGAAGTGTTCACTTTTCTCCACATCCATGCCAACATCTCTGGTTTGGGGATTTTGTAATGTGGGGTAATCTTATTAGAGTTAGATGATATCTCCAAGTGGTTTTGATTTGCATTTCTCTGATGATTAAGGATGGTGAGCATTTTTTCATGTGTCTGTAGGTTGGGCGCCTGTCTTCTTCAGAGAAGTTTCTCTTCAAGTCCCTTGCCCAGCCTGAGATGGGATCACTTATTCTTTTCTTGCTAATACGTTTGAGTTCTCTGTGGATTCTGGTTATTAAAGCTTTGTCAGAGACATAACTTGCAAATATCTTCTCCCATTCTGAGGGCTGTCTGCTTGCTTTACTAACTGTGTTCTTGGCTGTGCAGAAGGTTTTTAGTTTGATCAGGTCCCAGTAGTGTATTTTTGAAGTTGCTTCAATTGCCCGAGTGGTCCTCCTCATAAAATATTCACGCAGGCCTATTTCTTCAAGGGTTTTCCCTGAACTTTCTTCTAGTATTTTTATAGTTTCATGTTTTAAGTTTAAATCCTTAATCCAGTGAGAGTCTATCTTAGTTAATGGTGAGAGATGTGGGTCCAGTTTCAGTCTTCTACAGGTCACCAGCCAGTTCACCCAGCACCATTTGTTAAATAGGGAATCTTTTCCCCACTGAATGTTTTTTAGCCTTCCAAATCTTTTTCTCTGCACCTATGTGAGTAAATTTAAACACACACACACACACATGAATGCAGCCCTTTTTAAAAAATTAGCATGTCACTGGTAGACAATTTTTAAAAATTATTTACATATTTCTTTATTACTTGAGACAGAGTCTTGCTCTGTTGTCCCACAATAGAGTGCAGTGGTGCCATCATAGCTCATTGTAACCTCAGACTCTTGACTCAAGGGATCCTCCTGCCTCAGCCTCCCAAGTAGCTGGGGCTACAGATATGTGCAACCATGTCTAACTAATT